GCTTCTAATATAAGGTTGATAATCCAAATTCATGGCGGTCAACTGGCCGCCAATTGGGCCCACAAACGGCTCCCGTCGGTCGTGCATATAAATGTCCAAATCCTGTGAGTACTTGACGTTCATTCCGAACCACGTCAGGGGAAAAGCGTTGTCCCTAAACATCACGTCGTGGTCCACGCGGTACCGATCGTTGTCCGCCAATTGGCTTACGTTTTGACTGAACATGGTGAAACATTTATATTCCGCGTTAATTGACTCGACCACCGGTGATATCCACGCGCACTCGATATAATACTCGGCCGATGACAACACGGCCCGGGGTTTCAGGACTCCGCATGTGTTGAAGAACCGGTTGGCGCCGATCGTGCCGTTCAACAGCTGCTCCTCCAGTGTTAGGTTATAGAGGTATGGTTTGAATAGCCATTTGTTTTGCTCGGTGTCGGTTATGTTTGCCAGTGCCGTGTCGTTTGGGTACCGGTGCCGTAAATAGTCGGCGTCGACCGCGTAGCTTATATTTGTGCATATAGTGAATGAGGGCAGCTCTACCACCTGCGCCTTTTCAAGCACTACGGATACTGTTGTCTCGTAGCTAAAGTGTTGACAAACGATTGAGCCATTAGTAGTGATATTTAGTTTTAAAATTTTTCACTTTGAACTAAAATTTTAACTTTGTATTTTACAAGGCTATCACAAAATTTATTTAAATATAATAGTAATTCTGTTGTATTTGTTAAATATACAAGTAATATAATAATAATACTTTACCATATAAACACAACTAAATTAGAATCGGTAAAATGTAAGGGTTTATGTTAACTACAGTAGTTTAGTCAACAGATACTCATACCGGAAGTATATGACACTGATATCGACGATATGCCAAATGCAACCAATCAGTAACGCCAGGCATACAATCGCGCGGACGACCAACTTATTAACATTGTCGACAAACATGTTAGTGTTTGTTGTTTAAATTACACTGTTGGTATTTAATTATATAAATTATTCTGATAATATTTTGTATTGAATTAATATTTAATTATAAATTAATTTGTATTGTTGTAATAAATGCGCCAACTTATTAATATAATTATGTAAACTAATATTATTATACAACAGTTTGTCACAAATGTTAGTGAGTAAGTAAGTGAGTTTGTTAAATTCAAGGTAAATTTTTTACCTAATAATAAATAAAACAAAATATTAAACCTTGAAATTATTTATAAAAATTTATTTCTACATCAAATAATATGCATAATATTTTACATAATACTATTTCTCTAGTGATTAATAAGTCAATCCATATGAGCACTGGTATTGTTATATACTGTAATTTATAGATTAAACTGAAAAATATAAATTTAGCAGGCATAGATAACATAATCGATAATAAAAAGTCTTAACCCACAAACATGATTATAAATAAATGTAATAGATAATAATATTATTATTTAAAAAAGTATAATTATCAAGTATTACAATTTGTTATACATAATTAAAATTATTAAAATACTTTAATATTAAAATACTTTAATATTAAAATACTTTAATATTAAAATAATTATTGCAATTATTTTATATGTTGTGAGTATTGAGTATTCGTTAATAAAACAAATAAGTAAATCATTGTCCAATTTAGCATTTATTTAATCATAAATTATCAAAATAATGTTCTAATGTACCATTAATTTAATTACGGTATATGAATATTAATATTTTTATCGAAGCATCGCGACAATAAAAATATGACAATTAATGTTGCTTATTTTAAACAATAAAAGAATTTGTTATATCTAAATATATTCATGATGTAAGCGTTACCTTATAAATTATGTTGTTTATAAAGTATTATTTAAGCAAATCAATTTTTATATAACATAGATTTTTATTCATCTGAATTAACTATTTAAGTATTTTTTGAAAATAATTTTTATTAATTAATCAAAAATAAAATATCAAAATTGTTTTCTAATTAGTCATATAAACTCAATGGCCGCAATCACATGGGGCATTTTAGGCCTAGGTGCGTTAATCCTAGGTGCGCTCGGTTGGTTTGGATCACGCGACCAATCACCACCCAGCTCAACTACTAATAAACAGTGGCCGGACGTTAGCACCGGGCAATCATTACCTAGTTCAACAACGATCGAAACAATAGCGACGGTATGCGGTATTCTCCCTACGGATACCTATAACGAAGTGTGGCCAAACTATGTAGTTTTTTTTGTAAATTTTATTATAGAGATTTAAAGATGTTTGAATTTAAATTTATTTAAGGTTAATTATTAAATGTGATAGTTTTTGAATAAATATTGTTATTATTTTATTTTATATATTTTATTAATTATCTTTTTATTAATTTTATAACA